GGGGGGGGGGGGGGGGGGGGGGGGGGGGGGAGAACAGCTGCATTTACCAATCTTACCAGAGCTCCATCTCCTCTAGTTCATTGCTTCTGTGCATCATAAAATTAGCCCAAGGAGATCTCATGTCATCTCAACCTGGATCTAATTTCATGCTGTGTTAAGGTACACCAGGGTGCAGCTCCTTACTGTACATTCAAAATGCTTTTCCCTCAGACAGAGAGACAACGGTGTCTCCAGGGAGATGGAGAAAGGCAAAGGATGTCATAGATGTGATGACATCACACAAATGGTGATTATTTGCATGATGATGTCATTGCACCTGCGACATCATTATTGGTGGTTTTATCTGCCTATGAATGGGAAGATGGTCCATTTTTGTAGGGTGCATCTCAAGCGTTTGAGGCAAGGACAGCAAGATGAGGTGCAATATAGACCAGAGAGGCCTCTGTAATCTTACCAAGGAAGCCCCACTCAAAATGTGGGTTGATAAATCAAAGAAAAACTTCTTTAAGATTAAGGAATATATATTTGTAAAGGAATTCAAAGGCCATCTGATGCACCTATCTCCCATGCTATGGCCATGATATATTAAAATATACTCTTACCAAAAGAGTCTGTAGCTGAAGGCAACCAGTTTGTGGCCAGTTCAAGTGGGGCCTTCCCTCTAGGTCAGTGTTTCTCAAACCTGACAACTTTAAGACTTATGGACTTCAACTCCCAGAATTCTAGGAGTTGAAGTCCACTTGTCTTAAAGTTGTCAGGCTTGAGAAACACTGCTCTAAGTCCTCTTTAATGGTCTCACTCTTCATGTTGTTTCAGGAGGTGGACCAGTTGTTACACAGCCCCATCCAGAAAGGGGATGCTTCCCACAGTGTGGATTAAAATTTGAAATGATCAGATAAATTAATACTTTTCATTGAAGAAGTAAAAGAAATGTGTTAAAATATAATCACAAGAATTATCTTAATATCTTTCCTACACGGTCCTGAAAATACCTTGTGCCCTTGCATCTGAAAGTGCCTTCTTTCATTTCAAATGAAGATAAACTCAGTCTAACAGATTGCACATCATTAAAAAGGGGGAAGTAGAATATTGTCTGTCCAGCACCCAAAATAATTTGCTTGTATTCTGGAGTGGGCTGTGTACCATTGTGGAATTCATTTATTAACACCGAAATGGGCAACAGTCCCTTTCTTGCAGCAGAGCAGGACATAGTTGTGAAATAAGAGCAGAAAGTGCTTGTTTTAGCAGCATCCCGTTTGCCTGCCATGGTCAATGATCACTGGATTATCTGTCATTAAGCTATCTAGCTATATTTTTCTATTCCCACCCCTTTTCTCTCACTTTAATATATCATATCTATCTGTCTGTCTGTCATCTACCTACCTACCTATCTTTTTCTATCTATCTATCTATCCATCCATCCATCCATCCACTATCCATCCATCTACCATCTATCTACCTCCTATCATTCTGTCTTCTATCCATATATCTGTCTGTGTCTGTCTGTCTGTCTAGCTACCTACCTACCTACCATTCTCTCTCTCTCTCTCTCTCCATCCACCCACCATCTATCTACCTCCTATCATTCTGTCTTCTATCCATATATCTGTCTGTGTCTGTCTGTCTGTCTAGCTACCTACCTACCTACCATTCTCTCTCTCTCTCTCTCTCCATCCACCCACCATCTGTCTACCTCCTATCATTCTTTCTATCTTCTATCCATTTATCTGTCTGTCTACCTACCTATCCTTCCATCCATCCATTTCAAGTGCCCTTCGCTTCACTGTTCCACCACCGCATGTACTTTGCAGCCCACTTTAGCTGCCACGAAAGGATTCTGAAGACCTTTTCCACTTTTTTGGGAAAGGGAGGTTGGCTAGTTTAGTTAGCTAAACTCATCAGCCAGAAATCTTGTTGGCCGTACCTAAGGAGTGACTTTCTCCCTGTGGCTGTTGTTAACACACTATGACAGAGGGGTGAAAGGGAGGGGCTAATGTACTAAATAGAGCCTGATTTATTGAAGAGAACTTTATTAGTGGCAAAACAGTCACGGGGCGCTATGATGAAAAAAAAATCAAGGGCTTCAGTCCTTTCCGTGAAGGAAGAGGAGTTTAGACAGTGAATCAGTGAGAGCAAAATATTCCAGCATGATAAAACTTGAACCAGGATTCATTATCCTTTCCTTTCCTTGGCAGGAAGGAGGATAAAATGTGATTTAAAACTTGAAGAAAGCAATAGCTTATTTATAGAGACAAACTATAGATAAACTTGAGACTTTTTTTTTTAAGGAGTGACTATCCCAGCTTTTCACTGAGCCCTACGTTTGACATTGCCACTTCAAGCTGACATAGACTCATCAACTTACCAAAAGTTGTCTGTGTGTGTGTGCACACACATCAACATATGTCTGTTATCTTTGGTATATATGTACGCATGATTTACCCACAAGGTTAAATAGAATTCTAATACAGATAAGAATTGGCTTTGATTTGAGCTTGACTATTGTTGACTTCATGGACATGTTCTTTGCTTGGCAACACATGGGTGTGGTTTCTCACTGCCTTTTTCTGGGTTTCTGTTTTTCAAATCAACCCCCTGAGGATACCTCAGTGGTTACCCATCCAAATATGAATCACATCTGACCTCCCTTAGCTTGAAGAGCTGAACTAGGAAATTCCTAGTCTGTTCCTGTTTTGGAG